GGTGTTGCTAGGTGGTTGCTAGGGTGTTGGAAGGCGTTGGTAGGGTGTCAGTAGCTGGTTGCTAGGGTGTTGCTATGCAATTCTAGGTGGTTGCTATGGTGTTGCTAGGTGGTTGCTAGGGTGTTGGAAGGCGTTGGTAGGGTGTCAGTAGCTGGTTGCTAGGGTGTTGCTATGCAATTCTAGGTGGTTGCTATGGTGTTGCTAGGTGGTTGCTAGGGTGTTGGAAGGCGTTGGTAGGGTGTCAGTAGCTGGTTGCTAGGGTGTTGCTAGGTGCATTAAAATGAATACGCCCATAATAAATACATAAAGTTTTTCTTTGACTTTCCAAGGGATTTGTACGCAATCCGTAAGGTGTACTGAGAAAACTGATATGTCAGTCCGTCCGTCTAGGCAAGCCCTACGACTTGGCAGCAAAATCATCTCCGTTCATTTAAATGGCTAAGCACAAATTTGGAAAATGTTGTTTACTAGGTGAAGAGTAATATGGGCCTTTTCACTGAAATGAATAGGCCCATAATAATAATAATAATAATAATAATTATTATTATTATTATGTGATTTCTGTACGGGGCTTTGCACAGAAATATCTGCTAACCAAGCATAAACTTAACATAAACATAAGTTTATCTACTGGCATATTAGACGCAAATTTGGAAATCAAACTCATGAATTGGTCTAAGAAAAAGAGCAGAACATTTAATATGAACAGTAATATAGTGGAAGGAAGCTCCTTAAAGAGAAAAGGCTTTAAAAAATAATTACCAAGCCACAAACAAACTGACTTTGCAAACAAAGGTGAAGCAACCTGCACTGTGCTGGTGTGAAGTGGGCAGGGAAGGTGTAACATTACTGCCTGAACTGCCTGCAGTAGCTGCCCTCTTGGTTCGAAGGCACCGGTCCTGAAGCTTGGTTATTCAAGCTAAGAGCAGCTGTAACTGAACTGCTGGTAGCGAGTTTAGATTTGGGAACCAATTGTTGCATTTTGTTTATGGTTGTGTATGACTAATTTAAGTAATCTATCTAACCAGGTAACTTTATTCTGAGCGCTGACAGGGTTGTCAGCTCTCATGCATCTGGTGTGACAGTCACGCTTTCAGGTTCTCACGCAAGAAGTCTTACGGAAAATGTATTATTCCATTATAAACCTAAAATTAGCCATATTAACAGCTTTGGGGTCGTTTTCAAACCCTACAGACTATTTACAAGGTGATAAAACTGTTACAAATATGCAAATGCATGTGCATGTGTGTGCAGACTCGTCTCGAAATAAAAATCTTACTCCAGCTATCTTACCAGAGTTGGCAACCCAGCGCTAATATCAGCATTAGCAAATTGTCATGTTAAATGCAGCAGTGAACCCGTATCAGCGGGGGATACAATTCAAGACCTGCTGCGGAGATCCGAAACCGCAGATAGTAGCGAACACTACAAGTTACTTGTTTTTAATATACTTATGTACCTATGATAAAGTGTTACCAAATCAGGGGATATGGGGGTTCCACTGTACTGTTCTAGTGAGCTTCCTAGCCAACTGTAATGTTAGTTTGCTAGCTTACTATCTAAGAGCTAACTAAGCCATAACTAGCAAATATTCTTTAACCTTACAGATACCATAGAACATTATACAGAAATGTTTTACTATGTACATTAAGTACAGTTCTGTATTACACATCAAAATGATGTGATTTCTTTTGATGCATGGCCCAAAATCCATGGAACCAACATTTCATGCTGGCTTCTACCTGGAAGTGTTTACATTAGAGCATTTATGTCCTTCTTTCCATGGATTTTGGGCCATGTATCAGGAGAGCAGACCTGGGACGGCAGGTGTTGCAGTTGAGCCCTGTAGGTGTCGTGGGCCTATCAATGAAACACAGATGAAGCAGGGTGTCCACCTGATGACGCTGTCAAAGAAATTTCAGGCCCACATGGTATTCTGGGTTGTGACTTCGCTTTAATTCTGTGTTCAGGAAGCAACCACTGTTCTAGTGAATGGTATTGCGCAAATGCTCTCCGAACTTTGAATTAAAATCCTTTTTATAATGGTATACACAAACTACTTGTGTCCTCTCCCAGAACTGGATCAAACTGGCCAGGGGGGGCAATTTATATGCACGTTACATATCCTTCATCTAATGGGTCAGGCCACCTGCAAGCAGTACCCCACTCACTGTAGCCTTTTGTGGTTTTCCTGTTCTGTCTGATAAGCACGCACCAAACTTACATTTATGCTCTCTAGCTTGCATTTCTGCTCAATCTTATTGCACAAAATTCAAGCTACACTTGAATTTATTGAATTTATTGCTACACTTAAGGTTAACTCTTAATTCTCCTAAGCTTACATTCTTGAGTGTTAGTTGCCTAACACCCAAGTACTCCTGCATCAGTATTGCACAAAGACACAATTTCAAAGCTGATTATAAAATATCCCTCTAGTCAATTTTTCTCTCATAATGCCAATGTGACAATCCCATCCCCATTCAAGACATAACGAAAGTGCTGGATATTGGGATTGTAACATCAAGTCCTATGAGCTTGACTGACTCATTTTTTGATAAAGTACACACATACTATTACTGAGACTGCCCAGATATGTACTATCTTCAAAGTGGTAATAAGTCAGCCGAATCATGTTCAGTTAATACGAATTGAAAGCCAAATGAAGCTCTGAGGGTAATCCTCGCTAAATGAGTCCTCCCACATGCGCAATCACGTCATTGCATTCGACTGTGCAGCAATTAATGTGGACTGCAAAATCCGAATAAGGAGCTGCGAATATTGAACCAACTTCAGCTTCATTGAGCAAAGAGACAACATACAGAGCGGCAAGTGGAAATGCACTGAATGGCTTTGTGTGTAAGCTTAACTCATTGTAGACCTTGTGTATCATAACCAATGGGTAATCACTAACAGACTATCTGAAATGGTGGAATGTAATACCTTTTTTGTCAACCTTTATGAAAACTGATCATCTTGTTATTTGATACTATGTGCAAACTGCAAATAGCCTGGTTAGTTACTGTAATAGCATTCACAATTCCAGAGTTGGCAACTCTCACGCAAGTGCCGTGACTCTCACGCTTTTAGAATCAAGCAGGACTCTTACTTAAGAAATCTTACTGCAAACCTATTACTCCACTGTAAACCTAAAATTAGCTACATGAAAAGTGCTGGGGCAGTTTGCAAACTATACAGAAAATTTACAAGGTAAGAAAACATAAACATACGAGTAAATGCGTGTGTGTGCCTTTGCAGACTTGTCTCGACCTGAAAATCTCACTCCAACCAGCTGACCAAAGTTGGCAACCCTGCAATTCTCATCATACTGTGTTTGCCGTAAGGGCATAATGTTTATGAAGCCTGTAAAAGGGGGACAGACCTGGCATTTATTTGGAAAATACCATAAAGTAAGTTACTCATTTACCAGAAACTCAGAATCTTTCAGTTCATTAACAGGGCTGTCAGAAAGTTCCTTTTATTGCTAAGAGATTCAATAAATCCCTTATATTTACTTGTATGGGTCTCTAAGAGAAGATCTCCTAGTCGCTGTTTTATGTGGTTTGTGGTTGTGTTAGTGATTCTTTTAG